GCTAGGAGATATGATCATTTAAACCACATATTACACTGTCTGTAGGACTTGGTTGCACCAGTGCCATCACTCACATGTGTTAATCTGAAGCTCTGGGTTTACATTTGGCTTTTGGAACTTGTTTGGATGTGATAAGATAAAACACATTTGTTAATTTTTGTGTGCATGTTCACTGTATTGACAAGGCCCAAACATGAATGTTCTCTAAATTTGGCGAAGTCAAGAAAATAAAAAATGGCTTCTATGCTCATGAAAAAGGATGATGCCATCAGGGCATGTGGAGAAATTTATGCCCATATAAAGAACAACAGTAAGGCCCCAGTTACACACGTTGCCATCACTAGCCCACATAGGAGACTCAGCCTTCATGTTCAGCTGACAAAAAGTGATGCAAATGCAAGATATAACTTGTCTTGAAGGTCTATAATAAACAACATCCATGACAGACAAGGCCTGTGCAACTAAGGCATTGTGTGGAGGTCTGGATTTCAATGTATGGGGGAACTAAGAGTGAAACAACACCATTGTGTCACATACTTTCAATATCCTAGCATGTGAATTTGAATAAGTTGTAAATTACTGAAAATTATTCAAGTATAGCATGCCTTGAGGTTTATACCCTGTGAACTGAAAGACCTTTTCTCTAGTACTTAATTGCTTATTGTGAAATACTATCTTATCTTGTAATATGTGATGCTGTAGCCAACAGAAGAACCTGTAAATGTCTGAATGCATCAGATGGTTGATGGCCACTTCAGGTCCCCTCAAGCATTAAAACAGTCTGGATGGATTTATGTTTGCATTACAAACATATTAAACATGTGTTCACTCTTCATAGATAATTCAGTTTTTATCAGGACAAAGCAGATGTTGAGTCCAGATACACATCTCTGATGTAGAAGCAACCAGTGTTGCCAACTTGGCTGGTTATCCGCTCAATTAAGCTGATTTAGATTTTAAAAAGTCTATAACACCTGGAGAGAGCTATCCCTTAGCATTCCAATTCATCTCAATGGCAGTTGCTTGGTTGGCGCATGAAGCCCAGGAAGAACTCAAACTGGATGCTGCCATCTTTTCTTTGTGAGGCTTCAGTTCCAGAAAGCTTTTTGAGTCATAAATGTCATGTTTTTGAAAATATTTAGATTTCTTTTTTCCATACAGTACAATGAAAAGCACAATGAATGTGGGGACCCAACTGCATTACTTGTAGGACAAAGTGCAGGTATCGCACACAGAACACATAATTCTAAATGGATGTGTAAAAAAAATTAAAATAAAATAAAGAATTAAAAAAAAAAAAATTCAACAGCACAAACAGAAAATTTTAAATTATGAGAGTGGCTCTCTGTGGTCCAGCCAGTTTTTGAAGAGGTTTCCAAAGCTGCACCGCTAACAGACACTGAGCGGCAGTGAGTAGGTACACAGAAAACAAAGGTTTTGAAGGCTTCAGTTCCAGAAAGCTTTTTGAGTCATAAATGTCATGTTTTTGAAAATATTTAGATTTCTTTTTTCCATACAGTACAATGAAAAGCACAATGAATGTGGGGACCCAACTGCATTACTTGTAGGACAAAGTGCAGGTATCGCACACAGAACACATAATTCTAAATGGATGTGTAAAAAAAATTAAAATAAAATAAAGAATTAAAAAAAAATAAAAATTAAACAGCACAAACAGAACATTTTAAATTATGAGAGTGGCTCTCTGTGGTCCAGCCAGTTTTTGAAGAGGTTTCCAAAGCTGCACCGCTAACAGACACTGAGCGGCAGTGAGTAGGTACACAGAAAACAAAGGTTTTGAATTGTCACTTTTGAACTGTCCTTAAGTCTGTTTCATACTGTTTATAACATTCCAAAAATTTAATTCATATTTAAGGGTGAAAATCTGAAGGCTTGTGGAGTCTGTGCTTTGATGGGTGACACAAAGCTTGATTTTTTGACTTATTTTGGAAGTATTTTCATTGACGAGAAAATAAATAAATAAATATGGCAAAATTGTCTTAAACGTAAATTATTCAAATGTCTTGTTAACAGACCTGTCATATAAAAGTAATAGCACCTCAGATGTGATTACCTGCCGCTCAACCATAGGCTAGGCTATATATTTTAGTCTAAATAGTGGTGCATCATTTAATTTGTTGCAATCAAATACATATGGAGAGATAAACACTTATGGTTTTACACAGTTCATGTAAAAATAATAATAATAATAATAATAAATGCAGTTGAGTGAAGTCAGCGTCACCAAAATATCAAGTGGCAAAAGAAAACATGAACACAACAATCACTAACATAACACAACCAACTATAAACACAACTGTGAAAACTTCTGTCATGACTGACAACCTAGAACAGCTAGAATAAAGGTAACAATTAGCAAGCATATGCGAGTAAATTATCAGCTAAAACGTATCGATACATTTGAACTACAAGCGATCTCTCACTTTTTCCAGCTCGCGCTTCGCTTCTTTGGTGACTGTTTGCTAAAATCTAGGAACAGGCCAGCGAAAAACATTATTCTACACTTTTATCGCAATTTCACAATAAGCAAATATGTTATTAAAATACGATTAAATGGTCATTTGACTCAATTTATGGATAGATAAAATGTAAACAACTTGCTTGTCAGTGAGTCCTGTCAGTTCTCGCGCCACGCGCGCGGGGAGAGAGAGAACAGACGGCGCGTGGCACGAGAACTGACAGGATCCGTTTAAACTGTGGAAAACACTACAAAATAATAGTAGTGTTTATAGCCTACTATATGCTCTTCTTATAAACAATTATCAGCTAAAACGTATCGATACATTTGAACTACAAGCGATCTCTCACTTGTTCCAGCTCGCGCTTCGCTTCTTTGGTGACTGTTTGCTAAAATCTAGGAACAGGCCAGCAAAAAACATTATTCTACACTTTTATCGCAATTTCACAATAAGCAAATATGTTATTAAAATATGATTAAATGGTCATTTGACTCAATTTATGGATAGATAAAATGTAAACAACTTGCTTGTCAGTGAGTCCTGTCAGTTCTCGCGCCACGCGCGCGGGGAGAGAGAGAACAGACGGCGCGTGGCACGAGAACTGACAGGATCCGTTTAAACTGTGGAAAACACTACAAAATAATAGTAGTGTTTATAGCCTACTATATGCTCTTCTTATAAACAACTATAACATAAAATGTCACTAGCTACTTTCATTTGGCAAAAAAAAAAAAAAAATTAAATGCAGAATAGAAAACAGAAATGTTAAAGTTTAGCTAGGCTACTATTCGCCTTCGTAAGCATACAAAAATAAGATTTCAGGAAATATGTTATAGCTTTCTCTGTAGTTTACATTGAGTGATGTTTTTGTCCTCTTAAACTCCTGCGTTGATAAGATTGAGGTTAAGCAATCAGACAACGTGTTTTTAAGAGTTCTCTTTCTAAAAGATTTACTTTAGGTGTTACTTACTTTCTCCACCAAAATAAACAGTTTCATTTAAATCAAAATCCGTATGGATAATCTATTATGATTCTCAGAATAACTGTCGCTTCTACTTATTAACTTTCCCTTTTGCTCTTAAAAACGAAAAAAGCAGAAACATTATGTAGTTTCACTGTTCAGGGGAAAAGAAAAAAAAAATGAAACGTGTCTCGAAAGTCACAGTTGAGAAATAAATCAAAAGTGTTTTACCTTTAGCTCGTTTAATTCCGCGAAAATCCTCAATCTGCGATCCACAAGCGGTCATCTTCAGAGGGACAGAACCGAATCCCGGTGCAGGATTTAACACGTAATCCAATCCTGAATGGATTGAGGCGAGATGAATCCTTCGGAGAATATCAGTCTGCTCTGACTGGTCTGCCGTGAGTGACACGCATGAGCTCCAGTCCACGAACACAATGAAGCGCTCAAAGTGAAGCTGCGGAGCGCGTGTCTGCATCATCAGCCTGAAGTCAACACAGCACAGCGACCACTGCTGACTGCATTATACTATTAACTAAATGACAGCGTTAATTACGGTCAATAGAGTGAGACTGTAAGACAGTAACGTTCAATTTACTGAATGTGACATTATCTTTATTTATATTACTTCAGCTAGTATATGGCAACAAATACTAATAACATATTTACTTTAAGCTGTATAGAGAAGACTGGGGTTAGATGTCTGACTTTTTACTCCTCGTTATTTTACTTTCTGATTATTTTAGCTTATCTACTTCACAAGAAAAAGATACACTGAACACACATTAACCTTTTGAGACAAAGTGCCCCAACAACAGTACATGAGGTCAAATTATAAGGGGCAAGTTGTCACAGTGGAAGCTGCTATTAAACAGTGTGTTTTCCAGCAACATTTTAACAGCATAAACAATGAAACATAGCCTAATACAGTTCATGAAAGAGCATACATGTAAAAGCTTAAAAAAAAAAAACGTTTTGGCCAACAGAAACTGTTACTGTAAATATTACTTTGTATAAAATTAAAACATACAAAATGTGACCAGCTGACATTTATGAAAAATACCCTTGTCCTGAGAACTCCATGTTTATAAATGATAGAGTTGACATCTAAATGTCAGTGTGGATCTATCTATCTATATCTATCTATCTATCTATCTATCTATCTTACTAGACTAACATCTATCTATCTATCATATTAGACTAACATGGAGGACTAAATTCACAAAAAAAAATGAGAGAGAAAAAAAAACTGAAATTACAGAACCACAGCTAGAGAAAACACACTTGTGTAATTAGACTTTTGACTCAAACTTTAGAATTGCTGAGATATAGTCGTTGTTGTGGCACACTTAGACATTTAGACACAGCTTTAACAAAACTGATTTGTCTTTATTTTAAAATATGATAATGTGAATGACATACTGTACAAAGAAACTCTCAATGTAGGGACCTAAAGAAAATACAGGCAGTGCTGTAACACATTCACCATATATACAATGTGTATTATTCTATAACGTCTTCTGCATACAAGTATCATGTTCTTCATCCTAAAGATTAGGATATGGAAACATGCACCATCACAAAGTCATCATGCGACAAACACACCATGAATGAGATCCACTGCTGTGCTACGTCTGTGGAAATCTGCTCCCCTCTGCTGTGTGATTTATTTTTGTGTGTGAAAGATTGCTGGGAGCTCCATCATTACACTCAACACCTCACACAGAGCAATTGCAATGTACGCTCAGTCACAATGGAATGTTGAAACCCAATTAGCAGTATTGTTTCTTCAAAGGTTGTTCAAGTAGCACAACAGGACACTGAAGCTAAATACAGTGTTGTGTGCTCTTTTTCTGCTCAAAAGCTAAATGACAGGAGCCTTTAAAGTTCATTTAAAAATATATAATGGGTTTGGAATAACAAATAGCCTTTGTGGGCCTACATATAACAAACGTTAAAACATTTGGGGTCTGTAAGTATTTATTTATTTCTGTCATGACAACTCTCGGAGGGATTGGCATGGTAATGTACATGACAGTGTTAATGTATTTGGTCTTGGCGGAATAGATCTGCTACGCTGCTGCTGCTGTGGCAGAGCAAGTACCGAGACTTGCTACTGTCAATACATCCACAGCATGCTGCTGTGAGCATGTAAGAAATACTGTTGCACATATAACATACATGAAGAACCCCCATATAGCATACATGAATCACCCCGTAGCAGATCTATACAGGTGGAGCTGGGGAAGGTGGAGGGTTTCTGAAGTGTGCTGCCAACTGCTACAGCAAACAAAAGCCAGGTATTTGAATATTAAGCAGTAAGCTCATTGGTTACCGATACAGGAGAGAACCAAGTTAGTTTCCAAATAAATATTTTTTTAAATTTCATTAGGTTTAACTTTATGTACTAAAATAAAAACTAAAATAAAAATGAATACAAAACTAAATAGACTATAAAACTATAAAATATCACTATTTAAAAAAAGACTCAAATTAAAATGAAAAAAGAAAAAACAAATAAATTAAAACAATTAAACTGTTAATAAAAACAATGATACTAAAATAAAAAGCATCACAGTTACTACAAAAATATGAAGCCACACAACTGGTTTTAACACTGATAATAAGTTTCTTTAGCAGCAAATAAGCATATTAAAATGATTTTTGAAGGATCATGTGACACTGAATACTAGAGTAATGATGCTGAAAATTCAGCTTTGCATCACAGGATTAAATTACAGATGGTGCGTACATTTAAAATATATTAAAATAGAAAACTATTATATTCAATTTGCACCAATATTCAGTAATATTTCACTGGTTTTACTGTTGTTGTTTTTTTTTTTTTAACAGTATTTTTGATATGGTGCGTACATTTTTAAAATATATTAAAATAGAAAACTATTATATTCAATTTGCACCAATATTCAGTAATATTTCACTGGTTTTACTGTTGTTGTTTTTTTTTTTTTTTTATAAATACGAAAGGAGAATTTTTGAAGAATCTGCACAGTTTGAGACTCGGCACCAATTTTCTTAACCAATGACATGGGCTTGACCAATGGCAGATGGAGGAGGGTTGAGGAAATTTTTATTTGGCCGTGCTAGTGACATAGAAACTACACAACATAGAAAAAGAGCTTTGTTAATATTCTTCAACAATTCTCCTTTTGCTTTCCATGGAAAACTGACAGCATACAGGTCTGGAACGGCAGAAGGGTGAGTAAATAATGACATAAGTTTTATTTCTGGGTGATCTATCCTTTTAATGACTGTACAGGAAGAACTCGACCAGACACTTCCCTTCAACAGTTCTTCCTTCAAACCCACTGCCCTAACAGCCTCTTCATAAAGCTCCCAGACTCCATTCAACCCTAACGTTGTCCTTTAGCTTCAATCCACTCACGTGTAGAATCGTGATCCCCTGCTTACAGTAACACCGCGGGAATTGTCTCTGCGTAAGAAAGACGTGCCAACAGATGCATCTGTCAGTGAGAGCCACTGAAATGCCAAGCATAAATAAATACCACTGTCATGGGTTATTGACCCCATGATGAGTGACTAGCCAACTAGGGAAGTATTAATAATTAGCTAGCAAGCATGTTAATTTGAGAGGAGAGGCTGTTTGTTAATTAAATTAAATTCAAACAATGGATTTACACTTAGATTCGTTATAATTAAAATGTCTTGATTTTGGGGAAGACTGCAGCTTTAGAGATTGAAGTTCTTTTTTCATATGTTCAGAGCATATGTTGAAGCATATGGTGACCCTTTATGAAGGCTTTTTTTCCCGTTTAAATGGGGGAAAATGCAGTATGTAATATAGAGTTTTCAATATATATTTTTAGTATGTACTATAAAGGGTGATGTATTGAAATTTGTATTTTTTATTGTTTGTTACTGTTGTCATCAGCAGTGGATTTCATAAAGTTGTGATGTTCTCTCTCGCACACGTGCACATCCATTTTTTGTCACTCATTTGATCCAAGCATTTATCCACTGACCCACAAAATACTGAGACAGATGCAAGTATGATGTTATCAAATAAATCACGTTTGAGCTTCTGAATCGATCAAAAAGAATGATGGCACCCAAAACACACTGTTTAAACATATTTTATGCAGAAAAACAGCTATTTTGGATGTAATTGAAATTATTGTTACAATTATTTTACTTAATTTTGTTTGTTGACATTCATGCTCTGCTAAAGCTTGACCTTCAGACCAATAACAAAAACATCACATGACTGCTTATCAAAACTTGTTCAATTATGTCATATATGAGCATGAAGTTTCTGATATTGCGTCACAATGGAAAATTACCATGATGGTACGCAACTTAACCTAATTAATATTCATGAGCGAATGCCTTTGCAGTGCTGTGACATTGCCTGACTGCACTTCTCAAAACACAGTGACTCAAATGCACTGAAGGATAAAAAACAAGATCGGCAAAACTTCAAAAGGCATATTTTTTCTTCTACATGCTCCTGTTCACTGTGAACTCTGTCCCAATACAAAGTTCATTGCCCCACTTTGAAGATAAGCTTTGGTGAGGCAAACTACTCTCTGTGAACAACACAGGTCACTGCTTTTCATTCAGTGTTTCACCCTAAGAAGAAACTATGAAGACAGTTTTGATCAAACTTTAAAGGGGTCATATGATGTTGCTAAAAAGAACATTATTTGGTGTATTTGGTGTAATGAAATGTGTTTATGCGGTTTAAGGTTAAAAAAACACATTATTTTCCACATACTGTACATTATTGTTTCTCCTCTATGCCCCGCCTTTCTGAAACGCGTCAATTTTTACAAAGCTCATCGGTCTGAAAAGCAAGGTGTGCTGTGATTGGCCAGCTATCCAGTGCGTTGTGATTGGCCGAATACCTCAAGCGTGAGACGGAAATGTTACGCCCCTTACCATACTGTGATGATGCCCTGTCAGGCCGGAGCGATGATTCAAAAATATGAAAACCCATTATAAACGAGGCATTCGTTGCATCCAGTGGGGACATAATTATGGATTATAACGAATTATACTGTCTTTTTACGCGTTGCATTGCATCGCGCCGCTTAACCATAAAACCATGTCTGCATTTGTGATCGGAGATTTGAAATTGCATCATATGACCCCTTTAAAGAGCAAGAATGGTTAGCCCTCGCAAAAATGTCAATTGTCCATACATAATTTATTTTCCCCCAAAATTCTATAATATACTACGAAGCTGTCAACATTCTGGCAAGGTGGCAGCTAAAAAGTTTGGAGTCAAAAGTCCAATAACACAAATGTTTTTCGGTGGATTTGGTTTCATGCCCATTATTGGGGTATGTTGTTAGAAAAGGTCACAGTGTGTTTAATGAAATGTTCAATAGCTTTTTATAGTCAGGTACAGTCAAGTTTTCAAAAGTATACATCCACCAAGAAACAGTGTACAGCTAGTGCCAGTCTCCCTTGTATAATACAATATAATTGCAAATGGG